GGATTATAGGCATGAGCCACCGTGGTTGACCAGTATGACTTTTTTCTGCCATCACTGAGAAAATTCTCAGATAGGACCCAATATTACAAATGACACAAAACAAGCTTCTCCCTGATAACTGGTCCAGCATTGTTGTTTTGTTTCTTCACTAATAACTGTAGGGGTCAGTGTTGCCCACATAATGAAGAAAAGGGCCAGCTGACTTCTTAATTTTTTAAAGAGTTGATTATACAAATCCTTTAGATGCCTCTTGGTGATTTATTTACTTGTTACTGATTTTACTGATGGGTAAGCTAAATTCAACAAGTAAATTTAACATATATTTTGAAACAGCTAGTATGTCCAATCACCCAATCCAGATGCCTAGATCCAGGCAGGTCTACATTGCAAATCATCCTGAGAGAAAAATGGGAGATTGGATTAGCTATTTCCAGTTATTGTGAGGATATGGGATCCCAATCTTTGCGATTAGGTTCTTAGTTCTGGACTTCAAACATAGGTGCACAAGTTCTGAGGAAGCTGTGGGAGCTAAAGGAAAGACAATTACTGACTACAGCATAAGTCAAGCTACATGGAAATTAGCTCCTTTTCTGCTTGTTAGGATAGTATACATTGCTTCTCTAGTCTAGATGAGTATGTCCATCTTACGGTCTTGCCTCATCTCTCTTTCATGCCACTACTAATTGTTGGGATGGATCTGATGGTGATTTCATAGCCACATTCCCTCTGGATCCCAGCAAAGTCTAGGGACTTTTTTTTTTATAAGAGATGGGGTTTCTCCATGTTGGTCAGGCTGGACTCGAACTCCTGACCTCAGGTGATCTGCTTGCCTTGGCCTCCCAAAATGCTGGGATTACAGGCGTGATCTGGGATTACAGGCGTGAACTTACGCCTGGCCTAAGTCTAGGGATTTTTAGGACTGTAGGTGAGTGCCCATGGAGCTTCACTCATCTGCAGAGGTGTCTTCTCAGGCTAAGCAACAAAGAGGCCCTAGTTCAATTGGTGTGAAAAGAGCTACTGGTTTTAAACTGGCCTCCTGAGTTGCTATGATATGGACCTTAGTTTTATGTAGGACACTAACCTATGAAAGTTAACTCCTGGAGGCTTCCCTGCCCAACCCCCTCAAATGTCCCTTTATCTTTGCTCCTTCAAAAAATCTATTCACCTGGAAATCCAACTGAATTATTTGAATGTGTCTGGATAAGGACACACGGCCCCAGGAACTTTGCTTAAGAGGCAATATAAGGGTCCAGGACCTTTACAGAAATGAGCAATAATCAACTGAGCAGATGGTCCATGGAGAGTTGAAATGGGGACCTACATTTGTAGTGAAAAGAACAAAGGTTTAAGAGCCAGTCAGACTTAGATTCACAGTCCTTTTACAAGCTGTATGGTTTTAGATAACACACTTCCTCTGAGTCTCCCACTTACCAATTCTGCAAAGTGGGGATAATGATGCCTACTTTGTTGGGATGCTTAGAGATCACATATGTAAATTTCCTAACACTTTCGTGGTAGAGACATTTCATTGAACTATAAGTAGTAAGGTAGAAAAGCAGTACTACCCAGCATGGGAGGAGGTGGCTGGACCAACCTCCAATGGTTGTGAGGTCTGTACATCTGATTTTCAGACATTTTTCAAAGACTGAGTGTGTGAACTGGGACACCAGCTTCAATAAAGATGAAAACAAGCTGGACACAGTGGCTCACACCTGTAATGTCAGTGATTTGGGAGGCCAAGGAGGAAGGATCACTTGAGGCTAGGAGTTCAAGACTAGCCTGGGTAGCATAGAAAGACCTTGTCTTTGCAAAGAAATAAATAGCTGAGTGTGATGGTGAAGCAGGAATGGCCATGAGAAACAGACCTTTTGGACACCGAACCAGGAAGGAAGGGGTGATTTATTTGGCCTGGTGCAAGGCAACATAGTTGTCTAACAGCCAAGCTCTTCTAACAAAGAGAAGATATGCCTTTATATAGGCTTACAACTCTAGATACTACACGCGAAAGGGTCTTGTGTTTACAGATTTAGAAATTATACATAAAGGCTCTTGGGTTTACAGTTTTACAAACTACATGTGAAAGGGTCTTGGTCCATGCAGTAGGCATGGGGTAGGGGTTTGATATTGTTTAAGTAAAAATGCCTTCTGGAAAGCTTCCCCCATACCATTCCTGCTATCTATAGAAACGTGATTAAGGAGGTGCCAGTTGACCAGCCTTTACTTCTATTGAAATACAGTGTGGAAGTCAAGAGTAGGTAATCTTAGATGCTTGGGTCTCTTTCCTCAGTGGCACACGTCTGTAATCCCAGCTACCTGGGAAGCTGAGGTGGAGAATCACTTGAGCCCAGAAGTTTGAGGCTGTAGTGAGTTATGATCACACCACTATACTCCAGCCTGAGCAACAGAGCAAGACCGTCTCTTAAGAAAAAAAAAAGATGGATACATCTAGCCAATGGTCTTTGGATACCCAAGAAATTCTACCAGGTTTATGTGAAGAAGACAGGCAAGGAGACAGACATAGTTGCTCTAGAATAATACTTGTCCATTGTGAGACAGTAGGAAGTAAACAAAGCCCATATAACAGGTCCTTGCTTTACTAGGTAAGTATACTAGAATTACACCTAATTGTCTGTGAAGCAACAAATCAATGGCTGAACACTTGTTGCTATGGTAACCTTTTTTGCTCAACATCTAGCTGCTATTTAGAGGCTACAACAGGAACTAGATAGACAAACAATTAGATGTGTATCAGGCATAAAACCAAACAAAAAAGTGCTGGTGAAATAGGATAATTGGAACACACACCAAAAAAAGTCTTAAAATGGTTCTTTTAAAATGTGCATGTGTCTCAACAAAGGTTCCATACATGCTGAGTGATGCCAAAAAAAGAAAGCTTGGATACAGCCAGAAAAAAATGAGAAAGGAAAAAATGTGAAAAGTATACATTTTAGGTCCATAGAAAGCTCTTGTTGGAAATCAGGGACTCTCAGAATCTTACCCAGAATTTCTCCTGTAATTGGAGGGCCTATAATTTGGAGGTCCTTTTTACTAGGAACAGCAGACTCCAGGTATCCTTTATGAATCTTTAGAAAATGTTTTATTGAGGTAGTGTCTTGCTCTGTTGCCCAGGCTGGAGTGCAATGATGGGATCATCGCTCACTGCAGACTTTACCTCCTGGGCTCAAGCAATCCTCCTGCCTCAGCCTCCCAAGTAGCTGGGACTTCAGGCATACACCACTATGCCTAACTATTTTTTATTTTTTTACTTTTAGTAGCGACAAGGGCTCACTATGTTGTCCCAGCTGGTCTCCTAAGTCTTGGTCTCAAGCAGTCCTCCTGCCTCAGCCTTCCAAAGTGTTGGGATTGAAAGCATGAGCCACCATGCCCAGACTACCAACCTTTCAGACACTGTTTCTAGGAACCTTCTATTTTTATTCAGCATGTCAAGGTCTGAGTTAAACTGAGATTTTCCTTTGTTCTTCTAAAATGAGTGAAGCTACTCCTAGGTCAGAGATACCCTGCAAAAAAAAAAAACACTGAGGCAATTCATGCAAAGGGAACGCCTCCTCATATTACGTCATCCACCACACAGAGCCCTGCTAACTTTTTCTCAACATGCGTGGGATGTTTCAAGACTTTACGCATCAGAGATCATAGCTGAGAAAAAAAGCACTATTTGACCCTTTATTCTTCTCCTACACTGTTCAACTTTTCCAACCCCATAGTATTGTTCCTTTAAGTAAAATTGTTTTTCTTTTGATTACAGAAGAAATTTCCCCATGGTTTACACCAATGACTCATAAATCTATATCTTTAGACGTAATCTGTCTCTGGAGCTTTAGTTTTTCCTAGTTGTTTGTTAAATATCTGAACCAGAATATTCTGCAGGCACTTTAGATACATGGAATATCTTCCGCCTATCTCAATAGGTGGTACTATGTAGTGTTCAGCAGTGGACTTGAACTGCTAGGCCTAGCTAATGAGTGGGCCATTTCTCAACAGAGATCATGAAATAGGCAAGAAGCTTCTATGATATCTTGAACATGACTGAGCCAGAACTGAGTTATGGAGTGGAGGCCCAGCATGGTGGCTCATGTCTGTAATCTTAACACTTTGGGAGGCTCAAGGGGCAGATCACTTGAGGTCAGGAGTTCGAGACCAGTAGAGATGGTGAAACCCCATCTCTACTAAAAATATAAAAATTAGCCAGGCATGGTGGCAGGTGCCTGTAATCCCAGCTACGCGGGAGGCTGAGGCAGAAGAATCACTTGAACCTGGGAGGTGGGGGTTGTAGTGAACAGAGATTGGGCCATTGTACTCCAGCCTAGGGGACAGAGTGAGACTCCATCTCAAAAAATAAAACAAAGTAAGTTAGGAGGCAGGTTAGAAGACCTACCCTAGGGCCGTGCACGGTGGCTCATGCCTGTAATCCCAGCACTTTGGGAGGTCGAGGTGGGGCGATCACCTGAGGTCAGAAATTCAAGATCAGCCTGGTTAACATGGTGGAACCCCATCTCTACAAAAATACAAAAATTAGCTGGCCATGAGTCTGGGTGACAGAGTGAGAGGGAGGGAGGGAGGGAGGGAGGGAAGGAAGGAAGGAAGGAAGGAAGGAAGGAAGGAAGGAAGGAGGGAAGGAGGGAAGGAGGGAAGGAGGGAAGGAGGGAAGGAGGGAAGGAGGGAAGGAGGGAAGGAGGGAAGGAGGGAGGGAGGGAGGGAGGGAGGGAGGGAAGGAAGGGGAAGGAAGGAAGGGGAAGCAAGGAAGGAGGGAGAGAGGGAGGGAGGGAGAAAAAAAAGAGGGAGGGAAGGAAGGAGAAAAAATGAGGAAATAAGGAAGAAAGGGAGGGAGGAAAGAGAGAGAAAGAAAAAGAAAGAAAATCTTAAAGTTGCCAGGAAATCTAAAAAAAAAAAGAAAAGAAAAGAAAATCTACCTTAGTAATATATATTTAGGTGTGTGGCTACTAAAAAAAAAAAGTTGAGCTATCAGAGTGAGACAGGAAAGAGAAAGAGGGGGGATGGCGGAAGCCAGAGCTCGCGGAGGAGCAGCGGCGGGGGTCGAGGCCAGAGCTCGCGATCCACCGCTAGCGCACTGTGCACATCCGTGCCACCCTCGCTCAGCCCTTGGCCCACAGGATGGACGGCGGATCCGGGGGCCTGGGGTCTGGGGACAACGCCCCGACCACTGAGGCTCTTTTCGTGGCACTGGGCGTGGGCGTGACGGTGCTTAGCCATCCGCTGCTCTACATGAAGCTGCTCATCCAGGTGTGTCATGAGCCGATGCCCCCTACCCTTGGGACCAATGTGCTGGGGAGGAAGGTCCTCTATCTGCCAAGCTTCTTCACCTACGCCAAGTACATTGTGCAAGTGGATGGTAAGATAGGGCTGTTCCAAGGCCTGAGCCCCTGGCTGATGTCCAACTCTCTCTCCACTGTGACCCGGGGTAGCATGAAGGTTTTCCCTACAGATGAGATCGAGCAGATTTCCAGCAAGGATGACATGAAGACTTCCCTGAAGAAAGTTGTGAAGGAGACCTCCTATGAGATGATGATGCAGTGCGTGTCCCGCATGTTGGCCCACCCACTGCATGTCATTTCAATGCGCTGCATGGTTCAGTTTGTGGAACGGGAGGCCAAGTACGGTGGTGTGCTGACCTCCATTGGGAAGATTTTCAAAGAGGAAGGGCTGCTGGGATTCTTTGTTGGATTAATCCCTCACCTCCTGGGCGATGTGGTTTTCTTGTGGGGCTGTAACCTGCTGGCCCACTTCATCAATGCCTACCTGGTAGATGACAGCTTCAGCCAGGCCCTGGCTATCCCGAGCTATACCAAGTTCCTGATGGGGATCACAGTGAGCATACTGACCTATACCCCTTCCTGCTAGTTGGCGACCTCTTGGCTGTGAACAACTGCAGGCTGCAGGCTGGGCTCCCACCTTACTCCCCGGTGTTCGAATCCTGGATTCACTGCTGGAAGTACCTGAGTGTGCAAGGCCAGCTCTTCCAAGACTCCAGCCTGCTTTTCCACCAGGTGTCATCAGGATCATGTTTTGCCCTGGAGTAACCTGAATCATCTAAAAAACATGGTCTCAACCTGGCCAAGGTGGGTGAGGCCCGACCATCTTAGGACACCTGTAAGACGACTCCAACCCAGCAACAACCAGATATGCTTCAGCCCAGCCGGGCTTCAGTTTCCATATTTGCCGTGTGTCTGTCCAGATGTGGGGTTTGACGGGGGTGGGGCTACACACAGTGGATTGGGTCACCTGCCAGACCTGGGGAAGCTGGGGTGAGGTGGGGAGTTAGCAGACTCCCCACACCTCCCAGATCTGCTGAGTCCGTCTTATTCAGAGGGCCAGAGAATGGCTTGTGGGGGCCCAGGTTGGATGGGGAAAGGCTAATGGAGTCAGACCCCACCCCATCTACCCCTCCAGTCAGCCCAGTACCCATCCTGCAGCTCAGCTGGGAGCATCATTCTGCTGCTTTGTAAATAGGTTGGATCCCCTGGCACATGGCCACCATCATGTCTAGGCCTATGCTAGGAGGCGAATGCCGGGCTCTGCCTGCGTTTTCTCAACACTAATGATATGAGGGCAGCACCTGCCTCTGAATGGGAAATCATGTGACTACTCAGAATGTGTCCTCCTCATCTAATGCTCATCTGTTGAATGGTGATACCTCGTGCGCAGGATCTGGTTACCTGTGCAGTTGTGAATGCCCAGAGGTTGGGCAGATCAGTGTCTCTAGTCCTATGCAATTTTAAAGTTCATAGTAAGATGTGACCCCATCTCCCACAGATAAATGTATTGGTGGTGGAAAAAAAAAGAGAAAGAGAAAGAAAGAAAAAGAAAAAAGAAAAAGGAAAGAAAGAAAAAAATCTATCCTAGTAATATATATTTAAGTGTATTACTACTAAGAAAATGTTGAGCTGTCTAGAAGTGGGAAATCCAGTAGGAAAGTGGAACTCTCAAGGGAAATCTGACCGGCAAGAAGAGCTAGAATAATTCTGGTATAAGGGAATGTGATGGAAGTGTGGGCAAGTTGATGCTGGAAAGTACACTGGTTGAAAGTTGTTGAGTTTTGAGAGCCCCAAAGAAGAACGCTACATCTTAGGACAATAACAAAGGTTGCAAAGTCTAAGTGTTGCCCTAATAGTTATGTAACATTGGGCCAGTCATCTGCCCTTTTGGCATCACAGCAACCTTGTTTGTGAAATAAGGGATTTGTCCTAATGTTTTTAGCTAATTCAATTGCTTATTTTTTTTTTACTTTGAAATAATTATTAATTCACAGGAATTTGGAGAGATAGTAGAGAGACACTGTATGTCCTCCACCCAGTTTCCCCCAATGGCTACATCTTATGTAACTATAATACAATATCATAACCAGCAAATTGCTATTGGTACAATGTGTGTGGTAGTTCTATGTCGTTTTATCATGCTTAAATCCGTACAGCCACCATAGCTATGAAGATACAGAGCTATTCCATCATCCCCAAAGATCTCCCTATTTATATTCATACTCATACCTGCTTCACCCCCACTAATTCTCAACCCCTGGTAATCACTAATTCCTTTTCCATCTCTATCATTTAGTCATTCTGAGAATGTTATATAAAGGAAATCATACACTCTGTGACTTGTTAAGAATGGCTTTTTGTCATTAGCTTAATGCCCTTGAGACCTATGCAAGTTGTTGCATGTATCAATAATCTGTTCCTTTTTATTGCTGAGTAGTGTTTTTTTTTTTTTTTTTGAGAGAAGGAAAGAAAAAAAATAAGTAAAGGAGAGGAAGAAAGAGGAAGAGAAAGAGGGAGAGTAAATGGAAATATTGCTTTATTTTGAAAAAAATTGGGTATTAATCAATGTTTCATTTAAACTTATGGGTAGGTGTGATGTGGTATTGACAAGAATGTATATTTTGTGTATTTGAAGTGAGGAGCTCTATAAATATTTATTAAGTTTACTTGTTCTGGATCTGAGTTCGAGTCCTTGATATCCTTATTAATTTTCTGTCTTATTGAATCTAAGTCTTGTATCTGGGTGTTAGGATCGTTAGCTCTTGTTGTTGCATTGATCCTTTTACCACTATATCTTTGTTGCTTTAAAATCTATTTTATCCGATACGAGAATTGCAACTCCTGCTTTTTATTTATTTATTATTTATTTTTGCTCTCCATTTGGTTGGTAAATCTTTCTCCATTCCTTTGTTTTGAGTCTTTGTGTATCCTTGCATGTGAAACAGGTCTGGATGTAACATGCCATTGGGGTTTGGCTGTGTCTTTTGATTGGGGGATTTAGTCAATTTATATTTAGGGTAAATGCCATTTGATGTTGACTGGCTGTTTTATCCATTCGTTGGTGTAAATTCTTCTTTATGTTGGTGCTCTTTACTTTTTGGTGTATTTTTAGAAAGGCTAATACTGGTTGTTTCTTTCTGTGTGTAATGTTTCTTTCAGAAGCTCTTGTAAAGCAGGCCTGGTGGTAATAAAATCTCTGAGTTCTTGCTTGTTCATAAAAGATTTTATTTTTCCTTCAGTTGTGAAGCTTAGTTTGGCTGGATAAGAAATTCTGGGCTGAAGGTTCTGTTCTTGGAGGATGTTGAATATTGGCCCCCAATCTCTTCTGGCTTGTAGAGTTTCTGCTGAGAGATCTGCTGTAAGTCTGATAGGCTTGCCTTTGTGGGTAATCTGACCTTTCTCTCTGGCTGCCCTTAGTATTTTCTCCTTCGTTTCAACCCTGGTGAATCTAACGATTATGTGCCTTGGGGTTGCTCTTCTTGAGGAATATCTTTGTGGTGTTCTCTGTATTACCTGGGGTTGAATGTTGACCTGCTTTGCTAGTTTAGGAAAATTTTCCTGAATAATATCCTGAAGGGTATTTTCCAGCTTGGATTCATTCTCTCCGTCGCATTCAGGTACACCTATCAAACGTAAATTTGGTCTTTTCACATAGTCCCACATTTCTTGGAGACTTTGCTCATTCCTTTTTATCCTTTTTTCTCTAATCTTTTCTTCATGTTCTATTTCATTAAGTTGGACTTTGACCTCTGATATCCCTTCTTCTGCTTGAACAATTCGAGTGTTTAAACCTGTGCATACTTCTCGGAGTTCCTGTATTGTATTCTTCAGTTCCATTAATTCACTCATACTCCTCTCTAAGTTGTCTATTCTCAATAGGATTTCATCAAACCTTTTTTCAAAGTTCCTAGTTTCTTTACGTTGGGCTACAACGTGTTCTTTTAACTCACCGAAGTTTGTTATTATCCATTCCTTGAAGAGTGATTCTGTCATCAGGAGGCGCTCGTTCTCCATCAAGCCTTGTTCCATTGTTGATGTGGAACTGTGATCATCTTTAGAGGGAGAGGCGTTCTGACTTTGAGTATTCTCAGCTTTTTTACGCTGGTTTCTTCCCGTCATTGTAAATTTATCCTCCTGTCGTCTTTGAAATTACCAACTTTCAGATTAGGTCTCTTGAGTGGACGTCCAAGGTTGTTAGTTCCCAGGGCCAGAGCAGCGGCGTTAAAACTGATGGTGCTTTTCTGCCCAGGATTCTCCTGTCGGGCTTCCTTCTTGTGTCCGTAGTAGGCGACTCTGCCTTCCCGGGGCTCCGTTTACTCTGCACCGAGCGCTGCCGCGCCAAGGTGCTGGCGGAACCGCTGCCCCGGTCACGAAAGTCGCGCTGGCGACCCGTGTGATTCCTCCACTGGGGGATCTTCTGCTCCCTGAGCGACCAGAATTTGAAAGTGTGGCGTCCTCTAGTTCTCCGCGCCTTCCCTGAGAGCTGCAATCCCGGGATGTTAGCGATCGGCCATCTTGGATCGTTCCTCTGAGTAGTGTTTTATTGTGTATATGTACCAAAATGTTTAATCATTCACCTATTACGGGACTTTATGATTGCTTCCAGATTTTTGGTATTACAAATAATTTCGTGAACAATCATGTAGAGGTTTTGTGTGGACAAGTTTTTAGTTGTCAGAGATAAATGCCCAGGAGTACACTTTTGGGTTGTGTGGTAATGCATGATTAGCTTTTTTAAAAACTGGCAAACTATTTCTACAGTGGCTGTAACATTTTACATTCCTACAGCAATGTATGAGAGAGAAAATTTCTCCATGATCTCACCAGCGTTTGGTGTTATTTGGTAATATTTTGTAACCATTATTAGCTTTTCTAATGAATGTGCAGTAACCTTCATTTGCATTTCCCTAATGCAAATAATGTTGAACTTTTTCTTTTCTTTCCCCTCCCCTTCCCTCCCCTCCCTTCTTTTCTTTTCTTTTTTCTTTTCTTAAGACAGGGTCTCACTCCATCCATCACCCAGGCTGGAGTGCAGTGTTACGATTATGGATCACTGCAGCCTTGACCTCCTAGGCTCAAATGATCCTCCCAACTCAACCTCCCAGGCTTGAGAGATCCTCCCGTCTCAGCCTCCCAAGTAGCTGGGACTACAGGCATATGCCACCATGCCCAGCTAATTTTTGTAATTTTTAGAGAGAGGGGATTTTGCCTTGGTGCCCAAGCTGGTCTTGAACTCTTGGGCTCAAACAATCCTCCCGCCTCACCATCCCAAAGTGCTGGTATTACAGGTGTGAGCCACTGGGCCCAGACTTGAACATCTTTTCATGTGATTATGTGCCATACGTATATTGTCTTTAACGAAATGTCTATGTCTTTTGCTCATTTTTAAATTGGGTCGTTTGAGGTTTTTCCATTTTTTAATATATTCTGAATATGAACTTTTTGTTAGGTATGTGATTTGCAAATATTTTCTCCCGGTGTAGCTTGTCTTTTTATCCTCTTAACAGATTCCTTTGAAAAACTAAAGTTTTTACTTTTGATGCAGTCTAATTTATTTATCTTTACTATGAATTGTGCTTTTGGTGTCATGTCTAAGAAACTCCTCTCCAAGCTCTAGGTCTTGAAGATTTTCTCTTGTTTTCTTTTAAAAGTGTTGTAGTTTTGCATTTCACATTTAAGTCTATGATCCATTTTGAATTTATTTTTGTGTCTTTTTGCCTATGGATAGCCAATTACTCCAGCACCATTTGTTAAAAAGTTTATCCTTTCTCAATCAAATTGATTTTGCATGTTTGTGAAAAATCAGTTGGTCATACTTCTGTGCCATGCTGTGTCAAGGTTCTCTATTCTATTCCATTCTATGTATCTATCCCTCTACCAATACCACACAGTCTTAATTACTATAACAAGTCCTAAAATCAGGTGGAGCTGGGCAATGTGTTGCATGCCTGTAATCCCAGCTGCTTGGGAGGCTGAGGCAAGAGAATTCCTTAAACCCAGGAGTTTAAGGCCAACCTGGGCAACATAGCAAGACTTTGTCTCTAAAAAAATATCAGATTGAGTGATTCCTCCCAGTTTGTTCTTCTGCAAAATCAACGTAACTATTCTAGTACTGTTACCTTTCCATATAAATTTTAGAATAATCTCATTTATACTTACCAAAAAATATATATAATGCTAGTATTTTGATAACATATGTCAATTTTTCCAAAATTTTCATCTGTGTTGAGTTTTTAGGTCTGTGAACATACAATATCTTTCCATTTATTTAGGTCTTCCTTGATTTCTTTCTTATCTTGAAATTTTCAGTAGAGATTCACTGTACATTTTGTTAAGTGTACATCTAAGTATTTCATTTTCATTGTAGTAATTATAAATGCTATTGCATTTTCAACTTCAGTTTCTGCATAATCATTGATAGTTTATATAAATGTGATTGATTTTTGTGTATTGGTGTGTTTTATTATATACTGAAGCTGAACTTACTAGTTCTATAAGGTTTTGGTGTATTTC